AGTCAACGAGTTTGAAATCACTTTCTTGAGGCTCTTATCCACCGTGGTTTGTTAATTATGGCGTGCAGCCTTTCCAGAGTCACCCGCGGTACCTTCGACGTCCCACGATACGGAGCGACACCGAACGAAACCCAACATTCCAACAAACCGCAAGCTAGCGACCAAACGACAACCGAATAAACCAAGGTATGGCGGCCATCTCTCTGTAGGAAACATCTCTTGTCAAATGACACCTTTAGATCAAGAAAAGCTGACGGCTTAGATGAGGCTTCTAAATCAATCGCAGAAGAGCATACCGCCTCCGTTATGGAAACAGCAGACGCATCGGCTCTGGCAGAAAACGCAAATGGTGTTGAAAGGTAAAACGAGTCATATTATTTTTGAGATTTTTTCTTGATTTTAGCTTTATCGTGGAAATTACGATTTTTATTTTTTTCTTGCTTTTATTCTACGGTGACTTTTATTGATAGCATCAGGTTGACGCAGGAGTAATAGCCGTTTTGTTGTTTTACATTCAAAACAGCGCTTTCCACAACTAGTATTTTTTGTATGCGAGCAACAGTTCGGAAAAACATGCTTGGGACTCATCATTTCCGTTCATACCCAGTGCATAATTTTCAATAACTCAATAATTCAGAACAGCGGACAAAACCGTGAACTCAAGTCCCTCGATGGTCAGCAATGTTGAACGTAATAACGAAAGTGTAGATGGATCGCTGGAGAGCCAGCCCACCTCTATCAGAAGTAATTTAGTTTCCAATTTGATGTTTGAAGTTGTGAATGCATTCAATTCTGTTTGGTAGTATCTGAGGTGCAGCTTCATTTTTTGTGGCCTCTGAAATTGAAAGTTGAACTCTCTGCTCGTGAAATAGTTTTTAGCCAACTAACATACATGTTGCCAGATACATATACTACAAAGACTAGATATATGCTCACGATGATAAGCATTATTTTTCAAGAGGATCCTGTGGCGACCCCGACTTCGGAAGAGACGCAGCTATCGCGCCCACGTCGTCAAGCCAAAGTCAGTGTTGTGGCGAGACGCGCGCCACCGAAACGTCAACCGAATAGAGCAACGTACGTTTGAGAAACGTTCAAATTTTCCTTCTTCTTTTAATCACTAGCATCTTTCCAGCCCAAAGAAAGATGACAAGAAAGAAATTGTTGAGCTCCATAGTCGGGATTCCAAATCAGACAGATCAGGTATGTTGAAGTTCAGGGCTTTTAATTCAGTCCAGATGCTTCGTAATGCATCACAAAGTGAGGTATACTTGTAGCAGAGCAACCTTCGACATCAAACGAAGCACAAGAGCGCGCAAAGATCAGAAGGTAGGCTCCCTTCCCTCATTCGTGGTCAAGTGAAGTGATTTCACTGCCTTCATGAGCCTTTTAGGCATTTTGACAACGCTATCTTTGATCCAAATTGCTTTTCAGATCTGTCTCAAAGGAGAGAGAGGAAGCAACAGCGAAGGATGCCGGAGAAAAGAGCTATGAGAATAGTGAGTGATTAGATTTTTACTGTGACTGTTTCTGACTTCCATACAACAGTGGATTTTGTAGACGCAACAGGTGACTCCAGTGATGTTATTGCTTTAAATGACAGCACTTCTTCCCAACCTGCTCATTCGTCCAAAGGAAGTATGGTTTGAACAGACATACGAAATGGTAACTCTTACATTTTTCATTCATCTAGGTACTCCAATACCGGTAGAGGTTGAATTGAAAAGACCATCTCGAGCAAAACGAGCAATTCCTCGCAAATCTCGTGGGCGCCGTTGAATTTTGTTTTTGATAGAGACGTAACCTCAAACGTTGTTATATGTTTCGTGATTGTACCATACTGATCAAGTCAAATGCAGATATCCTAAGAATTATTGTATGTTAGTTGTTACAGTTAGAAGCACACTTTTTTTGTGATGCAAGCTCTGCAATCTCATAGAGTGCAAGAGTGTTAGCTTGTCTCCTGTTGTGATTTTTTGTTGTTTTGTTGAAATGTAGTTGTTCGCTTGTTGATCACATCATAAAACATAGACTTCATTGTAAAGCAGACAAGCTGTATAGGAATACCGATTGAGCGTGTAAAGAAAATTAGCTTTCTAATAATCCAAGTAGACAGACCACATGCACTTTAACTTTGTGAATGTAGTATTTATTGATAAAGTGACAGCTCTTGGCTTTTGGCTGTCACAGCTTTTCTGACAAAGTTGGTACCACCTGCAGTTCGCTTTAGGCTTCAGAAGGCGTCCATTGCGCCATGCTAGCACTATTCTTAG